GCCCCCAAATCCCCCCCTAAATGCCCCCAAATCCCCCCTAACCGCCCCCTGACCCCCCCAACCGCTCCCCTCCCCCCCCAGGCTGTCCGTGGGGTCCCCGGGGGTCGCGGGGTGCCGGGACCCCCCCCTGTGCGGGGGTGGCTGCGAGGCCATCGTGGACACGGGGACATCGCTGATCACCGGGCCCAGCGCAGAGGTGGCCGCGCTGCACCGGGCGCTGGGGGGGTCCCGCACGGCGGGGGGGCAGGTACGGACCCCTCCCCAAATTCCCCCGGTCACCCCTGGGGCACCTTGGGGTGGGGGTCCCTGAATGTCCCCCCAGGTCCTCTTGGGGTGGGGGTCCCTGGGTGTCCCCACAACCCCCCGCTCACCTTTGGGGTCCTGGGGCACCTTGGGGTGGGGGAGCAGGTACGGACCCCTCCCCAAATTCCCCCGGTCACCCCTGGGGCACCTTGGGGTGGGGGTCCCTGAATGTCCCCCCAGGTCCTCTTGGGGTGGGGGTCCCTGGGTGTCCCCACAACCCCCCGCTCACCTTTGGGGTCCTGGGGCACCTTGGGGTGGGGGAGCAGGTACGGACCCCTCCCCAAATTCCTCCTGTCACCCTTGGGGTCCTGGGACACCTTGGGGTGGGGGTCCTTGGGTCACTTTGGGGTGGGGGTCCGTGGGTGTCCCATTTGGGTGGGGGTCCCTGGGTGAGTGTCCCCGTTTGGGTGGGGGTCCCTGGGTGTCCCCGTTTGGGTGGGGGTCCCCGGGTCAGTTTGGGTGGGGGTCCCTGGGTGAGTGTCCCCGTTTGGGTGGGGGTCCCTGAGTGTCACCGTTTGGGTGGGGGTCTCCTGTCCCCGTTTGGGTGGGGGTCCCTGGGTGTCCCCGTTTGGGTGGGGGTCCCCGGGTCAGTTTGGGTGGGGGTCCCTGGGTGAGTGTCCCCGTTTGGGTGGGGGTCCCTGAGTGTCCCCGTTTGGGTGGGGGTCCCCTGTCCCCGTTTGGGTGGGGGTCCCTGGGTGTCCCCGTTTGGGTGGGGGTCCCCTGTCCCCGTTTGGGTGGGGGTCCCTGAGTGTCCCCTGTCCCCCCAGTACCTGCTGGACTGTGACAAGGTCCCGTCCCTGCCCAACGTCACCTTCGTCCTGGGGGGGAAGGAGTTCACGCTCGACCCCCAGCACTACGTGCTCCAGGTGTGACCCCCGTGTCACCTGTGTCACCTGAGTGTCACCTGTGTGTCATCTGTGTGTGTCACCTGTGTCACCTGTGTCACCTGTGTCACCTGTGTCACCCCCATGTCACCTGTGTTACCTGTGTCCCCTCTGTCATCTGAGTGTCACCTGTGTCTGTGTATCACCCGTGTCACCCCTGTGTCACCTGTGTCACCTGTGTCATCTGTGTCACCCCCGTGTCACCCCTGTGTCACCCTCTGTGTCCCCTATGTCCCCTCTGTGTCACCCCCATCCTTTTTTCCCTCATGCCCCCCTGACTTCCCCATCCCTGCTGTCCCCACCCCTGTCCCCATGTCCCCATGTCCCTGTCCCCTGAGGCTGTCCCGTGTCCCCTGTCCCTGTCCCCTGTCCCTGTCCCTGTCCCGTGTCCCCTGTCCCCATGTCCCTGTCCCCATG